TACATACAAACATTCTATTATTTGTATTTCTATAAAAGTTAGGGGATTTGTCATATATCAGACAATACTGTCAAAAGATTTAAAGTTTGTTTTGGTGGTTTTGAAGTCAGTATTGTTACGCATTTGAAGATTAAAATGAATTCCTTTAGCGTAAACAACATAAAGGCTTAGGCAGATGTAGCCAGACTACACACTCTACACACAGCTGTTTCCCAAACACTCTGCCATCCTGATGAATATTCATGTTCTGCTGCTAATGGGGTAACGATCCCTTTTGGAGCTGAAGATAATGTCTAAATCCCATGCCCTGGCTCAGATATGTGTCTTCTGCGTAGCATCTGAAAAAAGATTCTGCGGTTTTGATTTGTTGGGGGTTTTTTTGGCCTGAAGTTTATGTGAGGCAGGCAGGGTTTCCGTGTATGATCTCATTGTCCTCGGTTGGATTGCCTGCTCACGGCTACTACCGACAGTTAGTGCTGGAAATAAACGCCATCTCCTGTATGTCTCATATGCTGGCTTTTGTCCATTTCTCTCCCTATAATGCTGTCGCCTCTCTCTTTTGCTCCCTCTGGCTCATTCCTTTCCTCCACCCCTCATCTTCATCCACATTCTTTGAAGCTTATTTCATCTCCGCTCTTCCAAACATCTCAAAACTGAAAAGAAGGAAGTAAAAAAAAGAAAAGCCTTTGGATAAGCCTGCAAGTTCAAATTCCACGAGGTCCTTATTTTTTGGGTGAAGTGCATCGACTGGCATCAGCCGGCTCCTCCACCCGCTCAACTCCACTGCATAATTAACAAGATGTGAATTGGGAGAGGAGAGATGAGAGCGCCTGGTCAATGATCGGAGCTGGCTGACGAGATGATGAACAGCAGAGAGAGAGAGAGAGAGAGAGAGAGAGGGAGAGAGAGCTTGAGAGAGAGAGAGAGAGAGAGGGAGAGAGAGAGTACTGGTTCTCCCAAAGCCATTTGTGAAAATTAGAAATGAACACACTAGTTTAAAGAGCAACTGCTTAACAAAAACAGCTTAAATGAGATCAACCGGGTCAGCGAGACATTAAAATATGTCTCAGTAATAAGAAATTATGAGAATGGGTTTGAGAACGATATCCTTCCCCGTCAGCTGAGGTCACTGTGTTTCATAAATAGAAGTCTACGTCCTTCTCCATTCGCATCGGGAGGTTGTTTCTGGCTCAGTGTACAGATCATTTCTCCCCATTCCAATTTGCGAATTCTGAATTTAGAAGTCTTAAGCCACTCCTCTTGCCCTATATCGCCATCAGATGGTCCTTTTCCCAGTGTACCGACCTCATTACCTGACTTGTGTTCACTGGAGAGCTTGGATTATCCTTTGAATAAACACCAAGCACATACGGACCATAACTCTCTCTGAGCTAACCTGTTACAGACAGCATGAGGAACATTTTTTTTTTAGCTTTTTATGCTCTGCATTATGTGTACAATAAAAAGGTTGGTCTGAAATTGTAGTCAATCTAATAATAATAATAATAATAATAATAATAATAATATAATAATAATAATATATATTAATATTAATATATATATATGTATAATAATAATATATGATTATGATGTATGAGGCGGACCTAGTCGTGGGAGATTGATTTCCTGTGAATGCTTCTCCCCTAGTGGCTGAAGGCCCTGGTCATCACTCAGGCCAGTTCCAAGATGCTCGTGACCCGGCACTACGAACCATTAAGGACAGAGAGATGAAATATGACCACAGCCAGGGGCCGGGAACTGGCCTCGCTTCCCATCTCATCCTATATTAGCAACATGCATAACAAGCAACTGCAGAAAAAAGCCACACAGTGCTTAATCTGCACTGAATATCCTAATACACATGTTCTTAAGTTTATTCCATATATGCTAATATTTCACATGACCCTGTATTTCTATATAACTGGAGTGTAATTAAGATGAGCTAAGATACACTTATGAAGCACCAGTAAGGAGGATGCCTCAGGGTGCCAACCCCAGTGCCAAAGGTGAATAAATCCAGTTTAGTAACCTAGTGTTTTGCCCTTGCGGTAGTCCATGTACAGTCATTTTACACTCAACAACAATACAATTCCAGAGTTCAAGGGATTATTGTATGAATTGTGGGCGAAAAAAAAAAAAGTGAGTTACGACCTGAGCATGTAGCTTCCTCCAACGTTCAGATGTTTTCTGTATAAACGTTTCTGGAGTTTTCTCGAGTTGCTCAAATATGTGTGTGTTTTTCTGAAACATCCGCGTGATGCACTAACTCTTCCAGCCTCGTTTGGGTAATCTACCCAGTTTTATTGGCACCTTGTTATAAGACGACAGATATGGTAGTCTTCTGTCAATCGGTAACTGGAGACTGAGACAAAGCATGGGGGGAAGGCATTATTTTTCTTTTCTGATTGATTTGCATCATTTTTGTATTGTTGTCCCCATCTCGGATTTCATTTTTAACTCTATGTAAGAGGTTTGTTGTTGTTGATCAATTATAATTAGGGAGATCAATTGTCTTTTGTTTAATTCAAAAACCATTTTTTGGAGGGTGGTGGTGGTGGTACTGGGCGGTGGGGGTACAAACTTTCACAGAATCATGGACAAAGTCAGACTAGTACATCTAATGAAATGTATTAATAAATGCGTTGTAGGAAGATACCGACGGGGAAGTCTTCGTACAAGCTTAAATTGCCGCTTGCTGACATACGGCATGCGCGGTTTAACTCAAGCTCATCACGTTATGAGAGGAGGCACAGTACTAGTGAGCGTTTTCATTTACCAAGGTCAACCCGACATCTCCCGGAAGACGACGGCACGCTGATGAACGGTTGATGTCCATGATCCTGCAAAAGAGACGATCTGGGTCCTCAGGGGGAGGAAATGTTACGGGGAAATTCCATGGAAGTTCAAAAACAGAACAATATATAGTGTAGTCGAACACACACTGGCCTGATCAGAGTAGGTGGTTTTTTCACCAACACGTTCAATTTCTGAGGGTATGAACAGCAAGCAAACCGTGACAAAGTAATACTAAAGCTTTATAGAAACAGTATAGCAACAGAATGAAACAGAAAAACGAATAGAAGAGAATAGAATCAAATTGCCATCAGAATAGAAGAGAAGGTAATCTCAATTATATGAATAGAATAGAATTTGCCAACTCTATAGAAGCGTTATGGAAGAGATGAGAATAGAAAACGGAATAGAAGCACTGTATAGAAGAAACTGGCAACAGAGTGACGTCTGTAGTGATGCCAGTTTATGAAATGGTAATACTAAGAATAAGAAATTACAATGAAATAGGAAGACAATAGGTAAAAGAACAAAAGAATATAAAAGTAGTTTACTAGAAGTAAATAGAATAGAACGTAAAATTTAATAAGTAAACTATATAGTAATAGAATAAATGGTAATAGAACGGGTGTGAACAGAATAAGTAAATGGATGATGTTATCAGCAACTGCTAACATGTCAGTACGTAACAAGAAACGGAACAGAATTAATAGAATGAATGTAAATGTCAGAACAGAATGTGAATGTAATCAGAATACCAATCCGTCCAAATATCATAGCTCTGGTCGGGTTCAACTGTGTCCAAACCGCCACAAGCTCCCGTCCCCAGAGAACAGGTCCATGGTCCCAAAATGAACATGGAGGAGAGGCAGAGGAGGAGGAGGCTGAGGAGATTAGAGAGAGGGAGAGAGGAGAGGAAAGAGAGAGAGTAGGGAGTGAGAGAGGGAGGAGACATGGAGAGTGGAGAGAGAGTGAGCGGGCAGAGTGACAGGAGGAGACACAAGACACACATTCAACGACCCAGGAAGATGATGAAATGACAATGAATGAATGACACGAATGACAGGCCCACAGACGGGCATGAGCAACACACTGACCCAACCAATTGACAAAATTAATGAATGAAGGAGAGACAGGAGGAGCATGGAGGAGGCATGGAAGGAGTGAGACATATGTGACATACACAGGCACATGATCCTCACGTCCCCCCAACCTACCACCAACATGTGATCCTGTCCCTGTGACGCTGTCTGCACTCAAAACAATTCTTCACGCCACAACACACTAGAGAGAAAGAGACAGAGAGAGACATTGCCAGGGGAGAGATCACAGGAGAGAGAGAGAGAGAGAGAGAGAGAGACTAAGACACAGAGAAGATACTGGTGATATTCAGATGCCATCCCTTTGAACATCTCAGTCTTTGTAGTCTTATGTACTTTGCACCGTATAAAGAATATACCAAAGAATAACACTGATGGAGAGACAGCGGAAGGTAGTGACTGAGTGAGTGAGTAGTGTGTGTGTGTGTGTGTGTGTGTGTGTGTGTGTGTGTGTGATGAATACAGTCTGGCAACGAACAGGATGAATAGAAAATAACTGGCTGAGACTAAGCATGAATAAAACATTATAGAACTCATCTCAACATCAGTCTAGAAACAAACAGAAATGGTGCTTGTTTACAAAGTGTCAAAAAACAACAGTGCGGTCTCACACAGTAACGGAGACGCACTGTTCATGACTGTCCACTATGCCCAACACACACACACACACACACACACACACACACACATAACACACACACAATAACACACACACACCACACTGACCAAGTCTGAGACACTGACGCATCAGTCCTCCAGACGACATGTTCTTCTCTGCCTCAATCTCGCTGAAGTTCAGCGAGCTGCCAAACACCAACACGTCCACCATGGACATGAGGCGAGTCAGAAAGGTGACGGCCGTATCCGAGGACATCCCCGTGTCGCCTATCCCTTCCAACTCCTGCCCGATAAATACTACCCCCACACACACACACACAGAAAGCAATACTTCAGAGTTCAGCATCCCACACGTCAAACTAAAACCCAAAAAGGAGTTGCCGGCTGTGAATTAGGCATTTCAGTATAATATTCACGTCTTTATCATCGACTGTCGTGTTGGTGGGTGTGGGGGTGGTGTGTGGGTGTGGGAGTGGTAAAACTAGTCTACGGGGCAGTTGTGGTTTAGGGGTTAAGACTCATGCGTTACTGATCAGAAGGTCGGGGTTCAAGCCCCAGCACTGCCAAGCTGCCACTGTTGGACCCTTGAGCAAGGCGCTTCACCCTTTCTCCTCCAGGGGTGCTGTATCATGGCTGACCCTGCGCTTTGACCCTAACATACTGGGTTACACGAATAAAGAATGTCATTGTGCATGTGTATATGTCATCAATAAAGACTCATTATCATTATAACTCGGGGGGATTATGTTATTGTATTAATAATTTTTTTTTTTTTAAGGAGGTGGGGCTTGAATCAACACATTGTCGACCACGTGTGGTATCCAGCCAAATTGTCCACACAGTGGGGGTCTAGGAACACACTCCTGGCTGGAGGGTCATTGTGCCCAGGACACTTGACCTCTCTATCAACTGTGGTAATAAATTTGTAAGTGACTTCACTAGAGGAATATTAAACAACCCTCTCTCAGCTTGAGAGAGGAATTTATTTAAAACAAAACAAAACTAATGTATACTCCGAAAAGAAAAAAAAAGAAAACCAACCTACAGTAGTACTAAACTTGCTCTCAGGTGCTACCCTAATCTTTTTTGTACCTTTATTATGTACATCATTGTGTATTAATGTATTTTTTTTTTTTGCCTGGAAAAAGGAAAGAAATATTTAAGGACGTGTGTGATTCAATGGATCTTAATTATTTATTTTGTTTTTAGGTCAAGCTTTTTAAAGGTACACCACGGTATGTTTGTAGAGATAGCGCAGTTATATGGGATGAAGCAGAATGGAACCCCAACATTATCCAAAATGATTAGATTTACTAATATCTTATACCCGTTAGCTCACTTGAACTGGTTTCATCCAAAAACAAGCAGACCAATGAATAATATTCTGCTTCAAATATCAAACATATGCATGAATATCTATCTATCTGTCTGTCTATCTGTCTGTTTATCTGTCTATCTATCTATCTATCTATCTATCTATCTATCTATCTATCTGTCTATCTGTCTGTCTGTCTGTCTGTCTGTCTGTCTATTTATATATCTGTCTGTCTGTCTATCGATCTATCTGTTATCTATCTATCTATCTATTTATATATCTGTCTGTCTGTCTGTCTGTCTGTCTATCTATCTATCTATCTGTCTCTACTATATATCTATCTGTATATCTATCTATCTATCTATCTATCTATCTATCTATCTGTCTATCTGCTATTATCTATCTATCTATCTATCTATCTGTCTGTCTCTATCTACATATCTATCTGTCTATCTATCTGTCTGTCTATCTGTCTGTCTGTCTGTCTGTCTGTTTATTTATATATCTGTCTGTCTGTCTATCGATCTATCTGTCTATCTATCTATCTATTTATATATTGTCTGTCTGTTGTCTGTTTTCTATCTATTATTCTGTCTCTTTATATTCTCTGTCTATCTGTCTATCTTTATCTACTATTATTACTTATTATTACAGATCTTCTGTCTGTCTGTCTATCTGTATTCTATCTGTATATCTATCTATCTACTACTACTGTCTGTCTCTATCTATATTGTCTTTTATCTACTACTACTATTACTATACAGATTGTTGTCTGTCTGTGTCTATTATATCTATCTGTATATCCTCTCTTCTATCTCTCTTCTCTATTTATCTGTATCTATCTATATTTCTACTTTATCTTTCTTTCTTCTAACGATTGTTGTTGTGCCTGTATATTCTTATATTATTTCTTTTCTTTTGTTGTTTTATATCTGATCTATCTACTAATCTATCTATCTATCTATCTATCTATCTATTATATCTATCTATCTATCTATCTATCTATTCAGATCTGTCTGTCTGTCTGTGTTGTTATCTGTATATCTTATTATCTTATCTATCTATTATCTATCTATCTATCTATCTTCTATCTGCTGTCTATTTATATCTGTATAACTACTATTACTATCTATCTATCTACTATCTATATACTATCACTACTATCTCTATCTTCTGGCTCTATACATATTATTTGTCTGCTATCTGCTGTGTTTTTATTGCTGTATCCTTTTGGTTGGCTGGTTTTTTTGTTGTCTCTATATATTTTATATCTATATATTTATCTATCTATCTATCTATCTGTATATCTATTATCTCTGTATATGTATCTGCTGCTTTCTCTCTACTTCTTCTTTTTATATTGTGTCTGTTGTTATCTTCTATCTGTATCTAGACTGTGTTTTCTTTTTATCTTCTTTTTTTTTATTTTAGATGTCTGTCTGTTGTTGTTGTCTTGTATATCTATCTTTATTTCTATCTTTCTTTTTTTCTTCTTTATCTGTATTTCTCTCTCTCTTATTCTTTTTTTTTTCTATTTTGCTCCTTTTTCTTTTTTCTGGTGTTTGTTCTATTTTTTCCTTATATGTTATCTCTCTCTATTCTCTTTCTGTTTTTTCTGCTGTTATATTATCTCTATCTGTATCTCTGTATAACAACTTTTAAAACCACTGAAGGGTACTGATTGTTGTGAAACATAAAATACAGCGTAAATGTTTCACAGATCATGATATACAGCGTAAACATGGCACTAACCTTAGTATTCTGCCCGGAAGTGCGAAAGGAATCAAAACAAACACCATAACCAAAATGACTCATGAATAACAACTGAACAACAAGAGAGTATATTTGATGACCCCTATTAACCTCTTATTCAAAACCGTTAAGGGAACATAAGGACTGTAATGCTGTATGAATAGCCAAGAGGCGCGAGGCCTTACAGACGGCGACGTGGCAGCTGAGAGCAGAGGAAGGATCCCGCCACAGGCGATGATGATGTTGTCTACCATCTGTGAGATGAGGTGAATAGTGTTGTGCACAAATATGATATTCTCATTGCTGTTCACAAAGTCCAAGAACTAATTGGTTGGTGGCTGGTATAAGAGAGAGAGAGAGAGAGAGAGAGAGAGAGAGAGAGAGAGAGAGAGAAGAAAGAAAACAGAGAGAGAGAGTGGAGAGTGGAGTGAGAGACAGACAGACAGAGAGAGAGAGGACAGAGAGAGAAAGAGAGAGAGAGAGAGACAGAGAAAAAAAACAAACACACAAAAAAAGAGAGAAAAAACCCCAAGAGCGCCACAGACACAAAAACACAAAAAAGCAGGAGTCAGAGAGAGACAGAGAGAGACAGAGAGAGAGAGAGAGAAGAGGGAGGGAGAGAAGAGAGAGACAGAGAAAGAGCAGAGCGTCAGAGAGAGAGAGAGAAGAGAGAGAGAGAGAGGGGAGAGGCGAGAGAGACAGAGAGAGAGAGAAAGAGAGAGAGAGAAGAGAAAGAGAGAGGACAGAAAGCAAGGGAGTGAGAGAGAGAAGGAGAGAGAGGAAGAGACAGGTGAGACCACAGCGACACAGTTAATCTAATTAATGTTAGTAATAGCATATATCAAAATTGACAATATTCTGTTCTACATTCCAGATGCAATAAAATTCATTCATGTATTCATTACTAAGAAATGAAGCCCTACACACCCGACGTCCATCTGGGAGAACCCTTCAAGTTCCTATATAGAACTTTACAACAAAAGTGGTTTGCTGTATCAGAAAGCTTTTCAGAAGGAATCGACCCTTAATTATCCAGTGAAGAACCCATGAAGAACCTGCTTGTCTAAGAAGTGCGTATTACCTGGGTATGCATATAGTACAAACTCAAATAATTGGTATTTATTTTCTGTTTATTTTCTAGAACCCGCCCAGACATGTTAAGTTTAGCTGAACAGTCCGGTCATTGCTACACCCTCAGAAAAACACAGAAGTCTCTTTAAGGGTTCTTTAACGGTTCAATGAATAAATAACGACTTGGAACCATCATTGACAGTTCTACAATGTAAATGTTCCCCAAAGGTTCTCTAAGTGCAGTCAAGTATTCCAAATTAATATCAGTATAAATAAAATCCTTCACCCCCCACGTCAAAGGAAATCGGAACATCTGCATCCAACCAACTCACCTGGAGTTTAACTCCATCACATACATACGACCAATAGTCACTTCTGAGTTTTCTAATCTCAGACTCCAATCGAATCAGTCCTGCGATTCCATTGTAATAATCGTACTGCACATGAATCGGAATAAGTGTGTGTGTAGTGTAATGGAGGCTGACCTCCACACACATGCAGGTCTGCCTCGAGAGAAGAGCAGATCCGTGAGCAAGCGTGGTGCATCGGCGACCATTTAAACTCTGGGATGCGGAACATGGTGGTGCGAGGGCCCGGGCTGAACTGACGTCGCTGCTCCTCACTCATGGGCATGGCCCTGAAGCCCAGGTCCACCCTCACGTCCCTGTCCATCAGTCCACCCGCTCTGACAGGAACTTTCTAGAAGCACAGGTATTTCTCAAAACACGTATATGGACATATATATATATATATATATATATATACACACACACATACACACACAGTGAAATACATCGGACATTATTATTTATCTTCCCTTTTTCCTCCTACAGAAATGTAAAATCAGACTGCTTTGGAAATAACAGTGAATTACTGCCACCATTTTAATCAAAGTGAATTGCTGCCATCACGCTAATTATAGTAATCAGAAGTTTTACAATATCATAGCCGGTTTTTATGTTCCACGAGTGCATTGAAAACCCCATTTCACAGAAGCTGTGCTGCAATGAGCGATGCTCTGTTTTCAAGTAACGTCAAACGATCGCTTCTAAAAAGACAAACGTGCGTGTAACACTTCATCCGAAGCTTACATACTACATACGGCCTTCGGAACACGCCATTAAGCCACGCACTCATCTTTTATGAAGCGATACTGAAGGATTTCATCTAAGGATTACGTCCCATGAGATGGGATTAAAAGTTTGGATGGAGTATACCGCAACCCTCAATGAGGCTGAGACTTCACTGACTGGACGTTTTTGGAACTTTGAGACGTCTTCTATGAAGTTGTACATCCTATACCTTTGTAAATGCGCGTGAAAGCTACAGCGATTTACTGTGTCCGTGCACAGGAAATGACTGTCCACAAGTTCACAACAGAATACGGTATATGCGATCGAAACTGACAGGACACCGACTCCGCAGTGT